TCTCCCAGTTTCGTTGGGTGCGGAAACAAATGGAATATTCGGGCAGCGTCTTGGTTATTCGTTAGCTAGTTGGGCTGTTAGCTTGTATTGAGGAGCGGTGGGAATGGACTGTACGTACCGTACCTCTTCTTTGCAAGTGTATCTAGGTAGTTGATTGAATGATGGATGGATTGATTGATTGATTGATTGATTGTAAATGCTATGGGTTGTTGTTGACTGCAGAGCAGAGTAAGTTATAGAGGAGATTTTTTCTTCGTTGAACCAGGTAGCGGTACCTGCAGACTGTATTTATGTCATCCATTATTATTGTTAACTAAACAAAGATCAAGATACATAGATACAAACTCCACCTAAAAAATAATTAAATAATTTTTTTTAAAGATCACTCAATTCCTCTTGATCTTCCTAAATTGTTATTTTTATTTATTTATTCATTTTACTCATAGATTCTGGTGTTGTTATGGATGGAACCATCACTGCCCCTCCTCCTCTCCCCAAGAACCCGCTGATGTACCGGTACCTGTTGCCCTGCTGCAGCGTCTTTGTCGTCACATTCCACTTGGCATCACGTGGGCGACCTTCGTTGCCCTTCGGTGCGCTTCGGTGTTTTTCTTCGCTTTTCCACAGGTAAGAAGAAATCCCCTACCTACCTAACAAAGGGCGAGGGAACCAACAAGGACAAACAGGACCAACAGTCGGGCTGTCAACAGCCGGGTAATAATAATATACCATACAGATAACAGACACAACTTCTCTGACGGGGAAGAAGGGTTGGGCCCAGCCCAATCATAATTACAATCATTTGTTGGATTTATTTGCTCACGGCCTTGACTGCCCAATAATGAATCTATACCCAATGATCGAGGCACAAATATCCCGCTTTTATCTATCGCTCTAATGCGCCCTGTTTACAGTACATACAAATGCTAAGACAAAAACCAAGAGAATGAAAATAAAACGACGTGGGAGGCCGGGATAATGAAAACAAAATAGAAAAAAGGAAAATACCAATAGAAGCAACCAAAATTAACAACAACAACAACCAATGCAACCCGCGAAATATGAACCCCGGACCTCTTCAAGGGTCTCAAACTATATCCCCTGGATCCCGCGACCTCTTCACTAACCGTGATTGCTTCCGCCTCGACTTTGTTGCAGAAGACTCAGCTTGCTCTGCCCCTTTTTCATCCTGGGTATTATCTTGATGATGGACACTCCCAGCCCCTGCTCCCGCTACAGCTCCTTCAGCTCCCCCAGCTCCCCCAGCTCGTTCCGGCGAAGGTGAAAGTGAAGGTGAAGGTGAGTCATCCATTCCGTCAACCTCAACGGCTCGCACGGGACTATTCCTCCCCAGCGGACTCCGCGCCGCCCGACGACCCCGCGTCGGCTCAAACACCCCCGTATCCGGCGGGACCCAGCTCCCGCCCCCTCCATTGTTAGCCCCATCATAGACGAATGCGCCTGTCGCGGAGCTGGATATCCTTTCGGACCGGGTAGACGAGCGCGCAGGACTCTTCCCTCTAGATATAGATCGCCCCCCGCTGTCGGACATCGATTCCACCCCCCACGATGAGTCGATGCCGTCGTCGAACTCCCCCACCTCTACTCCAATGCTAGAGCATGCCCTTGACCGGCGTGCCAAATGCACTTTCCTCTGGTCCTCATCTCCCATAATACTCTCTATTGTGCGTGGTAGATGTATCATGGAATTAGATCCGTTTGTCCAGTCCGAGTCAAAGGATACCCGAGGGTGTAAGGGTAGTGGGGAGACGGCTGGGTTGCGGGGCAAGAACTCTGGAAAGGTCATCGTGGACGTATCGTCGTTCTCAGTGTAGTAGTACCCATTTGGCTGTAGATCCGGTGCTGCGAATCGGCCCTCTACACCTTCCGCTGGATGGATGGGGACAGAGGATTTCCCTTCGGCCACGGCCCGGAAAGTATCCAGTTTAATATTTAGTTCGTCGCCTGTAGCTTTAGCCCTGACAGCAGCTTCCTCCGGCGTAGTGTTTTCATCTGCTGCAGCCGCGTCAGCCCTAGGGCCACCCCATGTCCGTTGACCAGCAGTAAAAATCCCATAGACCATATAAAGCCAGTTAAAGAAAGGATTCAGAATGAACATCAGGGGGTAAAGCCATGCTTTATACCGTCGAAGCTTCGCGCCAAAATAAAGCATGAGCAAGTAGTTTAAACCAAGGGATACTGCGATGAACCCCACAGGCAAATTTTCCACTTTATTGGACGTAGTTATGACCGATATGACCATGATGAAAAAGAGAAGAGCGGTTGTGCGGATGGTATTTTGCATAAACCGTACAAGGCATAACATGGGATATCGATACCACAAACGAATGTCAGTAAGCATGCACACCTCATTCGTGATAAACCCGAGGAACCACCGTCTTCGCTGTTTCAGTAAACCCCGGAAGGTCTGGACGGCCTCCGTTTTGCAGAACGCGCTCGTGCACATCTGAATTTGATATCGCTCCTTGGCTCCAATCATAAAGAGATGAGTGAGCCAACGGTCTTCGCCAAGGTGACATTTGCCAAAATCGAACAAGTCCTCGCACTGCTCTGCCTTGTCTGCGAAATAATATTTAGCCATTTTACGGAAGGCTGAAAATCGAAGGATCGTAAGTGCGCCTGGGAGGCAGGTGACAGATCCACATCCAGATTCAACAGAGCGCTCGAATAGCTGTCCATGTATATACTCTAGATCCTGAAGGAGAGTAATCAAGGTGTTCTTCTGCGTGGTTGAGGTAATAACGCCGGTCATGGCAAGCATATTCCGTTTACTTCCTGGTTTTAATTCCATGTCGTACATGAAATTTTGAAGACAAACCCGATCAAGAATGCAATCCGAATCAATAAATAGCACGAAGAGGTTGTCATTTCTCTGGAGGTACTTCGCGTAAATCTTGTCAATCAGTTTGAACGTCAGCTTTTGGCAGTGCCTTTTCCCTCCATGCTTGAACCGCGATATAGTGATTCTAGCACCTTTGTATGAGACATCAATGCTCTCCGGATAACATTTGAGGGTGATAGGCACCCCGAGATGGGCAGCAACTGTCAGATATGATTCATCGACTTGACCGCCGTCATAGGAGAGGAAAACATGGATGCACGACGGCGGATAATCGCAGTCAACCACCGAGTCGACGGCTTTTATTAATATGTCAGGCGCCTCCTTGTACACAGGCATCACGATGACAGTTTTAGGAGCAGTACGCTCATCAAGAACCTCCTTGATTCGTTTTGTCCGTCCGACGGAGTTTGTCACTAATCTGTAGATGCAGAATAACCACGGAATGATGAGTAGAATGGCAAAGGTCCAGAATGCAAACCATTGCAGAAAGGACACGACCTGAACAGGGAAATGCCGTGTGATATTTGGCGGGAGGGGTAGAGTAACGACCATGACCGGGAGAAATGCGCCACTATGAGGGAAAACATGATTAGCAAGGAGAGGGGTGGACAGCCCAGAAATGAGAACCGCAGACAGGAGCACGTACCGAAATCCCGTGAACATCAACATCATGATAACAGCGAGGACTTTTATACTCCAATGATCCGCTTTTACAAACACTTTTCCTAGGCAGTATAGGAAAGCTGCTAGCCATAGAAACCACTCGAGGAAAGCCGCCACGATGAAAGTCCCCAATACGGATACATAGACGATCTTCAACAAACAAAATCAAAGATCAGCAGCCGGATATATATATATATATATATATTATTTTAGTATAGAAGCTTATCAGAAAGACTCACATCCTGGACTGCCCATGATGGTATATCATCCCCATTGTCGTGGGCCATGTTTAAGCCGGTGCTTGAAACTCGCGAATATCGTAGCAGCTTCAAAGGGGAGCAGATATGCAGTTGACAAGACGTGAAACATGAGATGAGCTTAGGAACACACCGAGAACGACGGTGGCACCCGCCACCGATCAGCCCGGCAGATCGAGCTAATCACGTTCAATCACTGACAATCAGTCATTGGCATAAAAAACTGCAACCGGGAAGTTGAACTGATATCTGTAGCCGCAGTGGTAATTCTGGCGCAGCCTGCAGGGAGCCGGAATGTCCCAGTTTATCACCACGGATGCAGGTTAATGTTGGAGAAGAAATTAACAGATATGGTTATATGTATAATTCAAGCTCTCCGTCCACGACAAGGACATGACTTGTATGTGTTCCTGACTGTAGCAAATGGTTGGCGAGGGTTGCTACTGGGCTAGTTGGAATGTGAATATAGCGAGTTAGGGACAACAAAGAGACCATGTCATCCAGTCAAAACAACCCACACGCACACACACACCCGGTCGACTGAAGCAAGAACACACAAAGAACTTGATGTAAAGAGATAAAACAGCAAATATAGTAAAGGTTTAGTAGTTGATGCTTGAGGTATGTTAGAGGAGGACAGAGGAATGAACTGAAATGAACTGGTCTCCGCCGCATCGAGAAGACTTCCAAGCAGTGGAACGTCTTGGGCGATGCGATTTGTTGCAGCAGGCGCAAGGAACCGCCAGTCCAAGCAGCTGCAGCCGGCCAGTGGAAGCATTGCCGCCGAATTGGGGAGAGAGATTCCCCGTAATCCGTACTGCCTGCAACCAGAATTGCTGCCGATAGAAAACGGGGAGAAAATAAATCAGAGTTAGTGATCGCCGAATATGAGCTGCCTGTGGTGGTTGAGTGGTGAGTGGGGAGATATTATGTATGCTATTTAGGGGGTTATGTTCAAGGAGGAAGTACTAATAATACTCGAGGCTTCCTCACCACCAAACTCACGAACATAGTGCCTTATCTCTGTACTAATTAATCTTGCCATTTGAATCAGGCAGTTATATATGTAAAGTACATACATACATATTTGTGTGGAGTAGTTAGATATCAGAATGTGTAGCAAATGCTGACTTCTGCTGTGACTCCGCGCTGACTTTCCCGGCGCGGAACAACAATGCCCCATTCCTTCCTGTGTGCTAAGCTTGGAAACCAGCCGAAGAAAAAAATAAGAAAAAGAAAAAGAAAAAAAATACGGCAACTGAGAGTCTCCAAGAAAAAATATCCCCCTCTCCAACAACGCAATTATTCAACATTTTCTCCAGTTTCTTCTAGAAAATTTATACCGCTTCCCCATATAGATATCTATCTCGACAATTAAGTCGATCTAGATAACAACTTGTCTTCGGATCTTTCTGTGCAGTTACTCCCGCGATCCTTATCCATAAACCGCCAGCCCGCCCGCGCGTGCGAATTTCCCCGCCCCTGTACCTATAGATACACCCTGCTTTTGTCGCCCGATTGCACACAGGGAATTCCCATAACACCATACCTTCTGGCCCCTTGCTATATCAAATGATCTAAGTCTGCCATCGCTCTATCACAAATTTTCATTGGTATTACCGGCCACTCGGGAATAGCAGAGCACGCAGGTTCTTCCCCGCTAGGATCAGGACCGCGTGCCTACCTGTGTCCATTTGCGTCTCTCCCTCTCTCCATCTCCCTCTTAAATCTACGTCTCCTTTACCAAGATAATACTTCATATCACATAAAAAAAAATGACGGAGGAACAGCAACAAGCTGCTGCGCCCGCAGAAGTAAACCCCAACGCACAGGCTGAAAACGATGTAAAGCAGGTGCTTGTGGAGCTCAAGGAACAAGAGCCAGCAAAACAGGATGCTCAAAGTGCTGCCCAAGAAAGCAGTAAGAAAACAGATGCAAAACCAGATACAAACGGCAAGGCTTCAGAAGGGAACACGGATGGTGCTGGGGAGGAGGATGCGGAGGCCAAAGAAGAAGCTAGGATCATTGCAGCTGCCGCAAAGCTGGGCCAGGATGCTGAATCAAAGAGCGACTCTAAGGACGGTGAGCAAAAGGATACAAACAGGGGCCAAGGACAGGCGTCGCGAGGTGGCCGTGGTGCCCATCGCCCCCGCGTAAACCACCGTGACAACATCAAATCAGATGTTTCGACGCTGAAGGAGACAAGCGACCCGGACGAGATCCGTAAACAGGTCAGCCCTCGTCCAATATTCTGTGTGATCCGGCGGCTTTAAAAAAAGCGAAGTCACAGATCATTTATCTTTCTAACCCTTTTGCTTCCTCATAGGTCGAATTCTACTTCTCTGACTCGAACCTTCTCATGGATAAATTCCTCCTCTCCAAGGTTGGCGGCAGCGAAAATCGCCCCGTCGAACTGTCCCTCCTGCACTCCTTCAAGCGCATGCGTCGCTTCCAGCCATTCAGCGCCGTTGTCGATGCGCTAAAGGACTCCAAGACACTCGAGCTGACCGACGACAATACCTGCGTCAGGCGTAAGGTGGCCCTTCCCGAAACCGTCAAGGAATCGCTAGATCCCACCGTTGTCAAGCTGTTTGAAGATAAAGCGATGGATCGCAGCATTTACGCGAAGGGATTCGGCCCTGAAGAACCTAGCACACAATTCGACATCGAGGCCTTCTTCACGCCATACGGCCCCACCAATGCCATCCGCCTGAGACGGACGGCTGATAAGATCTTCAAGGGAAGTGTGTTCGTTGAATTTGACAGCGAGGAGGCGCAAAAGGCGTTCCTGGCCCTCGACCCCAAGCCGAAGTGGAAGGGTACCACTGAGCTCCTGATCAAGAGCAAGAGAGATTATTGCGATGAGAAGATTAAGGAAATTGAAGCTGGTCGTCTGCGGCCCAATAGCGGCCGGGGCAGAGGTGGTCATAGAGGGCGGGGTCGTGGGGGGTCGTCGAACCATCACGATCGTCGGGGAGATGATCATGGAAAGGGCTTTAGGGGCGGTCGAGGTGGACGTGGTCACAGAGGCGGCAGAGGTGGTCGTCAAGAGGCTCAAAAGGATTCTCGGTATGTTTTCTTTCTTTTTCTTTTTCTTTTTCCCTTCCGAATCTCCATTGTTCCTTATCATATCATCCACAAAAATCCTATTCTCGAGGATTTTTTTTTTTTTTTTTTTTTTTTTTTTTTTTTTTTTTCCCTTTTTTCTTTTGGGATCGCGCATAGCTAACCCTACTCCCCTTGCTTTTTCTTTTTTTTTTCGCTTTCATAGTGGTGTCCCCGTAATCCAGGTACCAGCTGCGACAGACTCAACAGCCAAGGCAGGACAAAAACGTGCGCGGGAAGATGACGGCAATGCTGCTGCCGCCAATGGCTCTTCTGCTTCCAATGGCACTGCCGGCCCCAGTGCTGAGGCTGGCGCTCCTCCTGCCAAAAAAGTTGATACTAAAGAGTCATGATAATTGTCCTGTGCCTTGCCAATTCTCTTCCTCTTCATCCTCTTCTTCTTTCCCAATTCAACCTATAGAAATGGGGTCAAAGGAATATAGCAAATGACGAACGGTTTATTCATATTTCAGAAGGACAATTTTTCTTTTTAATTAAGCCTTCGAAATGTTTTTAGCTCCAATGCTCGCTTCTTACCTTTTTGTTGTTTAAAAAACAAAATCAATATGTATGAAAAGCCTCCCCTTTGTGGGCATGATTGGTACTTCTGGTGCTGGAGGGTCATAGAATTGGATACCTGTCATTTTTTCTTCGTGTTCATTATTTCCTTTTTCTCTTCTTCTTCTTCTCCTCCCTCCTTTTCCCCTTCTTCCTCTGTTTGATATCCTCTTTTTTCTTGCCGTGGCGGAAATTTTATTGCATCTGGTCTCCTGTTCTGCTCACGGTTCGTTTCCTTTCGCTTTCGTTCCGGTAGTGACTACCGGGCTTCTCATTTCTAATATGTTTCATCTACGTGATTTTTTCAACCATATACTATTGTATGAGCTATATCGGTGTTGTTTTTGTGTGCCCTTCCTCCTCCTTTTATATGCTTCATCGTCTCAAAACGTGTCTTCCTCCATATTACTATTTTCTACCTGTTTTACCGCTTGGATTTAAGATATAAGGTGATGTCTACTGCTAGTTATTACATGCCAGCCACCAATATGTGAAGTAACGTAATACTCGTTCCTGGGGTGTAACTAGTTCAGTAACACACTATCTGAGCCTGCAAATCTCCAAGAGGCTTCATGGTCTGCTAATAGTTAACTCCTATACGCGTGGGAACATTTGGGACCAAAAAAAAATAAAAAATAACATCTGATTGGCATTCTATTTGCATTCGCTAGTTCTACTATGGACCAACATCCTCAGATTTGACAAGGACTCCGATAGTTGCCCATGTTCCCGGCTGTGTATGAATCACATACGCTACCTGTATTCCGAATTCCATCCTACCAAAACAGTTGTCATCGAAATGAATTGGAAATGCCACTTCGCCTACGTTCTTATGTGGGAAAAAGGAAATATGAGCAAATGCGGCCTGTGCTGTGCCAGATATAGATTACAGACGCGCCTTGGATTGAGCCTTTGGAGGCGGGGTGATTCTCCGATCGAGCCTGCGCTTTAGCCGGTCTGCGTTTACCTTGTACGTGCGCGGGAACCAGCTGTATAGGGTCTTTTCGTCATCGCCAAATAGCATGCTTGTGACTGCCTGAGCGCAGAGGAAACAGAGGACCATTCCTAGGGTTTTGAAATAAATAAATATCAGTCAGGTTTAGAGAGCCACAAATACATCTATATATAGATATATGTGTAAAACGTAGAACGATTTGGAGGTTTTGAAAAATTATGCTTGGGTGTGGGTGGGTGCTAACTCACCATGCCCCTGAAAGGATGCCGAGATAAACAACCCAGGTTCCCCCGGAATCTCTCCAACCAACGGATGCCCATCAGCACTATACCCCATAATGCCAGTCCATTCATGTCGCACGCGGCCGGCAGGATCATCACGGCCCCAATTCTTCCCGAAGAACTCCACCGTCGATGCGGCAAGATACTCACTAATCGCCGGCTCGAGCACAGAGTCATCCGTAGTTCCATAATTGGCCAGGCCGCCATTCTCACTTTCACAGAACCCGCCACCGATGACGATGTCGCGGGGATACTTCGATGCGTCGGGACATTGGATCATGTAGTCAAATCCGCTGCCGTAGTTGAAGGAGTAGGTGGTGGAGAGGCCGGAGGCTGGCATTGCCGATCCAGGCCTGTGTGCTGTCACCTGACCGCGGACGGGGACTATGACGCCTTGAAGCTTTGGGTAGAGGGCCGCTGAGTAGCCGTTCGTCGCCATGATGACTTTCGTTGCTTGAATGTTGCCGCGAAGAGTTACGACAGTCCAGTGCTTCCCTTTGCCGTGGCCATTGTCCTTACTAGTGCTACTTTCTTGCCTGTGCAAACTGGTAACAGGGGTATTCGTTTGAAGGTTTAGGCCCTTCTTTAGACATAACTTGAGAAGTCCTATGACAAACTTATATGCGCTGAGACTGCCGGCTTCGTACGTAATGGCTCCGGCAGCCCCCGGGACTAGGAACTTCTCCTCCGTTTCCTTCCTGTTCCAGAACGTATATTTGCTTGCAGGGTGATTTTTCATGATCTTCTGCATGAATTTGACTGTTGTAGCTGCTTGTTCTAATGTTTCTTGGTCGTATATCACGTCCGTTGTGTCGATGTGCTTGCTCTCGCACTGGATGTTGTGTTTCCGTGCAAAGTCGTGCACCTGACGAACAGTGTTGAGTTCAAGTTTCGCGATTTTGATGGCTTCGTCGAGACCTAGTTTTTCCACGTTTGTTGGAAAGGTCGTATAAGAAGCCCCCTTGGTGTGGCCGCCTAATATCCGATTTCGCAGTATGGTATGCGTTTAATTAGCTAGATTGTTCATAGAAAATTAAGGGGCTTTCCGTGGACATTGCATGCAAGTCGCCGGACGGGACACATTAGAAATCAGGGAAAAGAGGAATAGATACATATATCTCATTTGTAGAATAATAAAAATACAAAATAAAAATAAAAATAAAAGTAAAAGTAAAGAAGGAATGAGTACCATTTCGCCCCGACGCTCCGCTAGCAGCCTGCCTCGCCTCAAGCATAACAATCTTCGTCCCTGGAGCTCGACATAGTATATTGTATGCAATGGCCGCACCAGATATTCCTGATCCGACTATCGCAATATCAGCCTCCGCAGGAAGCTTCACGGTTGAGCATATATCCCCGATCTCATCTGGCGGGTTCTGCCAGTATGAGACTGTAGGGTTTGGATGGGGCAGTGAAACTGGTATGGAGATACGTTCATCCATTTTGGGTTTGCTTCCTGGTAAACGACACAAGGGCAAAGGTAAGAAGAGATGGAGAAAACCAGTCGTTCTTATGTTTAGATTGTGTTTAGATTTCCTCGGTTATGTAGTAGTAAACGGCTGAGGATGTGGGGTATGTATGGGGAAAATGGGACGTAGTTTCAATGACAGTTCCCCAACGTTGGTAAGATATAGAAGGCTTTTTTTCATATCAAACACGTAGCAAGCGGGCCTCCCCCATTTTAAGCGTCGGTCAACTGTGCAAGTACGGTTAAGGGAAACGGGATCTAGCGGGAACCATGAGCCTGGGTGGCGCGCCTCCAACGATTCCCATGACAGCGGCAAGGTATGCTTCAAACGAGTTAATGTGATCATCATATCATCTGTAGCCCACAGTCCTATCGCAATGTTGGAAGTTGAATCCATTTTGCCCTCAAGCGAAATTTCCTGCATGTGCTGAGGATCAACTGACCGGTTTCAAACAAAACCTTCCCTTGTAACGCAGAGAAGTTAATTAGTTCCAGGGCATATTTGATTGGAAGAAAGTTGTGACTTGGTAAGGGTCAGACGATTATCCCTGGTCAGAGGCCAATGTGTATGTATGGAGTCATGACTTCAGGTTCCAAAAATATCTAAGCCTGAGAGGCTAACTAGCCAATCAGCGACGATAGGGAGGTTCGGGTCATGTGATATATTAGATTTCGGGTTCGACCAATAGAATCAACTTCTGATTTCAACTTGTTCAAGTCGCTCCATCGCCGAAAGCCAGCAAAAATGAGGAGATTGATTTGGCAATGGCTGCCTAAGAAGTTCACTAGGTGATAGCAAGTAGTGAGTTAGAAGCGCCACGACTAGCAAAGAAAAGGGAACAGAGATATTGGAGGTTTGGCTTCTTTGCAAAGCAAAGCTCCTCCTATATTAAACCCCGCAAACGGAATGCTTTCTCTTCCGCGCTACCCAACGCCCTGGACAACTTGTTGATTGAGATACCCTTGCCTCTAGGTGATTGGCATGGTGGACATACATTATCTTGAGAACTGTTTACTCTTACTTCCAAACTGCACTCTCTGTGTAGCGAGCGATGACGGCCATTCCCGGACATTGAGAGTTGTTTGACGGCCCATCTCGTTGAGAGGAAAAATTGATATAAAACTCAATTGCTATCTGCGTCTGAACCCTCACTCATCCTGCTCTCCTCGCTATATGTTGGAGCTATGGGCGACACCTTTCCGATTGCTTGCTTGAAATTTCGGCCCGAACAGATTGAACGGATAGGGATATTTGTCTTCGCTAGGAATCTCTCGAGCTAGAGAACCGTGTTGCAACCTACCTCTTCCGTTAGCCCTGAGCATCCTAGCCAATCCGGATCTATTTTCAAAAGAACCCAAACAGATATTGCGGCGGCCATCCTTCATTGATCCCGATGTGGGATTGGTATGATAGGAGATATTCACCTCACACCATATTACAATCACTACGATTTATGGAAACTCCTCTGTTCTTCCTGTTCTATCACGCTCAATGATCGCAACGGATTATATCCCCTGCAGCTGTATCCTGATGATATGTGGTAGCACAAGGCACCATTAGGAGTCTAAACACGAACACCCCTCGTGCTTTCAGAAATATAACGCGGCGTATTGCTATTGGAATTGACTTAGAACAAGAGTTAAAATGACATACAGACATACAGGTTTCATATATCCTTATTTCTCTGGCTAACGGACTCCAAGAGAGAAAAAGCCTCTCAAAGGTCGAGCCTCACCATGATGGTTCTAGTATAGGAAGTGGATTCATATATGCCCACTCGACCAATTTGCTTGATCGATAAGAGGTGAACTGCACCAAAGTCCGCCACTCCTCAGGAAATGGAAACGAGAACTAGTCACGTGGATTTGGCTCCCTCAGCCTGCCTACTATTTGCTCGCCTACAGTTCCAAGGTTCTCGAAACACCCCTCGGCTTGTAACGTCGGCATTTCGTTTCAGAAAATTTCGAATCCACTGTACTGAAATCCGTCAGATGATTTTGAGACGCTAAAACGCTCGAGCCTATGTTGATTTAGCTTTATTTATTCAGCTTAGAGATGCGCCTCTTATGCAAGAGTCGCTTTGCTAGTTGCTTGGAGGCGATTTTTGCTGCGGAGATGGGCTCATGTGAATTCCCTTTTTCCTTTACCCTGACAAATAACAAAGATATCAAATCAAACACAAACCGCCATCTATTCGTGGCCATGATAAAGTGAAAAAGTGACAACTAACCCCTCTCTTAGCACGATCTACTTTTGATGCTCGACATATCCTCGCCCCTGAGTGTACTCCAGAGTTTGAATAGATATTTGGCACCAAACGACCTTGCGATATAGTTCACTACTATGCCATTTGAAAATAAATTTGCGGCTAACACAAGTGTTGATGCCGAAAGACACAGGAAACTATAACATTACCAGGGCTATTGGCCTGTTTCACCGGAGGAAGTTTGGCGCAGGAGGTTTTATCCGGATTCTCAAATGGGCCATGGCTGGAGGACGCTCTGACGCCTTTCCTGGTGTTCGCTAGTGCAGAAGAAGTGAAACAAATCTGAAAGCTCGCAGAATGAATGGTCTACCGAAGCTGCAATAGGAAACGGATCCATGTTCCGACGATTCATTTAATTGTTCACCATTGCCTGGCTCGACCAAACGAAGGACATGATCAGACATTGGAAGGCGGATGAAGGACGATATGAAGAAGAAAAACTGGTCGCGTGTTATTTGCTATATTTGCCAACAACTTTCTCAAAGGAGAACTTCGGAGCCCCCGGTGGGATATCAACAATTGAAAACGCAGATCATTGATTTCGCCGTGGAGGCGGATCAAGCCCCCAAAGCAATTTTCGTGGGTGTAGATTGTTGCCAAAACAGACATTCCCACAGATTTACGCAGCGTAGCCACTGCAGTCAGATTTTTCTTCGCTAATGAGGCCGACTTTTCATTTAGGGTATCCTTGGTCATTTATTACGCATATTTGGGTCACATATCAAGGGAGTTTACATGGCTAAACTCAAACTTTTAAGCATATATATGCCGTATTCTTCAGCAATCCCGACAGGCTCCTGGGTTGGGCAAGTCAACAGATCAAGGTATAAAACTCACATGTTCTTTATCGACTGCATTGCTCAGAAGGAAATTGAGATAGGGCTTGGACACTAAGCCACCTGCCGCATTTCGTGCCAAGCCACTGGCTGGCCGTGATCTTCGATCCCGGACACGTTAAAGTGCTGCGTGTCAACATGGATAAACACCTACAGAATACAATGATATACTCCGTATAATTCGACTCGGAAGCTGCCGTGTCTCCACGGCCTCTCAAAATGAGAAACTTTCATACTAAATGCTAGGCCCTGCGGAGCTGGTTAAACGTGTGAGTGGTCTAGCCTCCACCGGATATTTCATAAAAGTCATCAACAGTTATTCACGTCTTTGCGGATATACTGGGATCTGCATCATGAGAAAGCGCTCTCAATCACGGCTGTGACCTGTATTATTGGTTCGCCATCTTTGCCCTCGTTTTGGACTATGGAGGGAATCACTTCTTGACGGTGCAGGATGGCGAGTCCTCGTGGCAGCCCTTGCTACTAGCTTCCGCAACGATATCAAGTCGGATAGGTCCACACACAGAGGAATATCATGGTTAGAAAACAGCTACTGTGACTTCCTCATGTGTTAGAATCAAAGATAGAAATGCCCAAGATGGGAGAGAGAGAGAGGTAGAGAAACTGAAGAGAAAGGAGGGACTCTCATGCCAAGCAATCAGCTAATCTTTCCAGGAAGAAGAGCATGGCGAAATCCATCGCGGGGTAAAACATGGTTTTCAGTGATTTGCTGGGATATCAGATCATCATCTGCTGGAGGGAAAATGCGCAACCTTGGAAGGTTTGAGCAAAAACATCATTAGAAAAACCGTCTAGTTGGGAAGCAGGTGAATCTGAACGGAATCGACCACTTGGTAACGGCATTGGTTGAATCTACAGGGTTTGCATAAATGTTTCGCATAAGGTTGGCAGGCTTGGGCACTCACTCCCTGCAGAAATCTTTGGCCGCTATGCTTAATCTCTACGGAGTACTCTGTAGATGCTCGTCATCATAGCGAGAGTTTCTGGCCCTAGTGGCGCCAAGAGTATGCTATATTTAACAGCGGGTCCCCTGGGAAGTCGGCAAAGGTTTGGTGATGAACTGCCCTTGTTGACGTTTCGGCTCCGTGCCAACCAACTCCACAATATGTGGCCAGAATTTTTTTAAACCCGGTTCTTGATCTTGGGTTCTACTGAGGGGTGCGGAAGTTCAACATGATACTACTTCATGGATAATGCCAACGGAGTCACGGTCTGGTGCTCCTAGACGGTATGTTCGTGTATCACCGTTCCATCCGTCCCGTGAGCCGGACCTAGCATGTTGTGGCAATTTTTGGACTCTATGTCCTTAGGACACTGACCATGCTTGAGATGTGGGATTTTGCGTCTCTCGCTTTGAACCAGAGAATTCTTGTTTACGGATTGCACCTGGCACATTAAGAAACTGAATATGACGTTTCTTTTCTCCATTTATTTACGTTTCTGCTGTGGAAATTCCAAATCGCGGGCGCTGTTGGCAACCTTGACTCATATCAATGTTGTTGAATAATTTTTACTGTGCGCCCGTTACGCCGGCCAGTGGCTCGCGAACCTATTCGGATAGGGTAGAAGTACCTCCAAGCCGCCAAATGCTGATCATGCACAAGCAGAAGGTCAAAAATGCGAGCGTTTATCCTCCGCCTCGAATATACGAGCTCGGGCTTCATGGATCACAACGAACTGCTCCGTCTTGGCAAGTCTCTAGCGCCCGAAGCGAGCACAGAGCGGTTACACTCTTTTGGCGATTTTGAACCGAATACTTGGGCCCACAGCATATACGGATCTAGGATGAAATGCTTGTCCAGCATAGATACTCGCTCCCTCTATCACAACGCGCCGCAGCCGCAATCCCGTACAGATCCTAGCAGAAACCAGGGGTCAACTACCCCAATCTATCTCCATTCCGAAAATGTGGAGGGCTGTATAGCTCCATTTTGTACTTTAAGACTGCCGGTAGTCCGGCAAAATTTTATTCAAAATAGTACTCCATTCCTGTTTGCTTCTCACGCAAGATAGACGAATTTTCATTTTCATCGTCAAATGGGAGACTCTCATACACAGCCATGTCTGAATTATACGAGGGCAGACGTCAACATCTACTGGTCTAGGAAGCTATCTAGTTTCTGAATCAGACGTTGGATTCAAAGATTCTCCTCCACGGTCCCCGGAATGGAAGCCGCAAAGAAGAGAGTGGCTGATAGTTTCCTCGATCTTCTTGCTCTATCTAATGATTGCCTTAGATTCAACCATCATTGTCCCCGTTCTTCCGGTATGTGTCTATCATATCCTTTGACGATCGTGACAGTATTCTTACTCCTGACTGATAGACGATAGCAAGCGAGCTAAATGGCACTGCTGTTCACGCTTTTTGGGCGGGAACCTCATTTCTCTTGACCTACGCCGTTTTTCAACCCTTCATCGCCGTTTTGTCTGATATATTCGGACGCCGGGAAGTGATGCTAGCCAGCGTCAGCCTTTTTACTACCGGTACATTAATCGCATGTTTAGCCCAGAATTTCTCCACGCTTTTAGCCGGGCGTTCTATCCAAGGAGTGGGGGCCGGCGGTGTCTTTGTCCTTGGCTATGTCATTCTTACCGACATTGTCCCTCTCAGGCAGCGTCCGAAGTTCACAGCAATTATTCAAATGGCATGGGCAGTTGGGACCATCCTTGGGCCACTTTTTGGCGGCTTATTTGCTGAACACTCAACATGGCGATGGACGTTCTATATTAATTT